AGACTGGAGTAATGATGCTGAAATATTAAAATAAACAGTTATTTTAAATTGTAATAATATTTCACAATATTACTGTTTTAACTGTTTTTAATCAAATAAATGCAGCCTTGGTGAGCATAAGAGACTTCTTTAAAAAAAAAAAGCAATCACTTCAGCAATTACTGAGGTTCAAGCGTTTTAAGACGTTTGAGTAATTATAGACATTTTAAGATGATTTTACTCAAATTGGCTGAAAAATGATCAATAAAATCACAAGTAATATTATTTAATGATTTATAACTTTTGACCAATAGTTGACGTTGCTCCCAAATTAATGTTGTGTGATTAACTAGGTGTGACAATGACATGCATATAGTTTGGTGCCAATATGCTAAAGCATTGCAGAAATCTGTCATTTTTTATATCTCCTGACCAGTAGGTGGCACTGTGCTGAAACTGTGCAGGTAACCTCAGAACATGATTGGCATAACAAACTCCGAGTTTGGTCTAAATACGATAAAGTATTGAGGAGTTTGCCGAGCTCTTCATCAAATTCATGCATGCATTATTCGAGAATGGAACTTACCGAGCCCAGATTTTTTAATACTAGTGTAAACTAAAGGCTATTTAAGTAGACTATATATGTGATGGGGAGCTTTAACTTTGAAATATATGTCCCTGGTCTAATTATGCATGATTCATCTTTGTTTTTATAAATTTTTCTCTCATGTAACCAAAGCCATGCAGGAGAGTAATGAACAAAAGTATATTATTTATCTACTTCCAATGATCCATTAAAATTGTAATTAATAAAAATCAAGTGCTGCCTTACATGATTTCCCACAGAATTTTTTTTTTTTGCTCAGTAAGTTTGTCACATTCCAAAAGTTAAGTAGGCCGCAGTACCTTCTACATTAGTTTGTGTATTTTTACATGAGGGTTAAGTTTATGGGTTTATATAGGGTTAGGGCAATAATAAATATAATTAGCTCAGTATTAAAACCATTATGCCAATGGAAAAAATGTTTGTGTGTGTGTGGATTTCCTTTTTTTTTGTGTTAATGCCAATCTATTTTTCACATCTATGACTAGGGAAGATCAATGAAAAGAGTGGGTAGAGGGTTATGAGGATCAAAGCGAATCCCCTTGAAGAGAGACACAGGCATACACACACACACACACACACACACACACACAGGTTCTCCTCCCAATAAACATGCAGTACAGTCTGTCTGTTCTTTCTGAATGCACAGCAGGGGCAGCATTAGCTTTAACAATTCAGTGCATTTCTGTCGTTTTTCCTTTCAGCCCTGAAGGAAGAGCAGCCTCCAAGAACAAATGAAAGAAACTTCCAGACTGTGATTTATTTCATTAGGCAAATGAGATGTGTGAGCCCTCTGGCAGTACTGACTTGAAACTGTCCACTCTCTCTAACTGACAGTACAGAGAGACACACATACACACACACACACACACACACACACACACACACACACACACACACACACACACACACACAGGTTCTCCTCCCAATAAACATGCAGTACAGTCTGTCTGTTCTTTCTGAACGCACAGCAGGGGCAGCATTAGCTTTAACAATTCAGTGCATTTCTGTCGTTTTTCCTTTCAGCCCTGAAGGAAGAGCAGCCTCCAAGAACAAATGAAAGAAACTTCCAGACTGTGATTTATTTCATTAGGCAAATGAGATGTGTGAGCCCTCTGGCAGTACTGACTTGAAACTGTCCACTCTCTCTCGCTCGCTCTCACTTCCCGAGCCTCTTTGTACCTTCGTATTTCTCTCGTATAAACGTGCACAGAACGACCATTCTTGCTGTTTGCATGTTGCATGTCCTGCGGTGGGCCGTACGTTCACATCCATGCATATGTAGCACGTCACGTCCAATCAAGCTCTGGAATGACTGGAACTGAAGTGTTTGCTAGGGAACAGCTGTTGCAGTGTTAGCGCAGAACAAAATGGCCGCCATTCAGCTCTAGCTTTCTAACTGTACCTGACTGCTGTCAAGTGTGTGCCCAGAGCTCCTCTTAATTATTTTTAGTAAGTGTGATGTGAAATGGACCATGCGAAACCAGAAAACATGGACCTGGTTGGAGCAACAGTGGGAAATCTGGCTTCAACAGAATAAGTACATTTACAGTACTGTTTTATTGCATTATTGCAGCGAGATTCTCATCAGACTGTTGCAAATTTACATAAAAAAGGGAAACTGAGTTTTGACACATTTTGAAATGTAACAATATGTGAAATGGATCTTTCCTAGTCAGAAGAATTGGCCCCAGGCCAAACATTTCATTCTAGTTTACAGAACAGCATATGTTTCGCTTTTGTTTATTTGGTTACTACCAAATGATTGGCGAACGACAGCACAAAATATTTAAAGCTAAACAGAAGTTTTTGCAAGAGAACAGGTGTTGCCGTGTTAGCACAAAACAAAATGGCCAGTGTTAAGCCGTACCCGTCCAACTGTACCTGACCGCCGTCAAGTATGCGTCTAGAGCTTAATCGCAATTGTTTTGAATAAGTGTAATGTAAAATGGGCCAGAAACCCTGTTGAAAAAACCAGCATATGCTGGTTAGGTAGCCTATGTTTTGAAGCATGGCTGCTGGTTTGAGCTGGTTTAATCTGGTCCTTAGCTGGCCATGAGCTGGCTTAAGGTGGTCCTAAGCTGGTCCTAAGCAACTAGCTCTAGCTCAGGACCAGCTTAAACCAGCTCAAACCAGCAGCCATGCTTCAAAACATACCTAACCAGCATATGCTAGTTTTTTCAACAGGGCAACAATGGGCATCTCGCTTTGACAGAATTAGAGGTCAGTACTGCTTTTGTATTTTATCCAGATTCGAGACAGTTGTCCGTAGAATGGGACGGGTTACTCGAATACCTGATACCAAATTGCATTTGGACACATTTTGGAACAGAACACACAAAAATGTGAGCTGAATAGAATCATTTGCAGATTTCTGGCCTCAGTCTGAACAATTCTTTCGAATTCATATTTGAACAGCATGTGTTTTGCTTTTGTTAACTTGGTTACTACTAAATTATTGGCAAACAGCAGAACATAATATTGGTGTTGGACAGGGAACAGCTGTTGATGTGTGAGAGCAAGAACAAAATGGCCGCTGTTCAGCTCTAAACTAAACCTGATCTGTGCCCAGTTTGCACCTAGAGCTCCTCTCATTTATTCTGAATAATTGCTATGTAAAATGGCGCGTACAGAGCCGGAAAACATGGATCTGGTCGGAGCTAAATTGGGCAAAATCTCACTTTGACAGATCTATAGGTCACACTTGAGTTTCTGTTTTACCCAGATTCTCTTCAAACAGTAGCCACCACCATTGCAATATTCAACCTAAAAGAGAAAATTGACTGTAGAAGAGGACTGGTTACTCCAGTACAAGCTAACGCATTGCATTTGGACACATTTTGAAACAAAACTTGTGAAATCAAGTTTTCACAAATCGTTCACGTGTTCTTGGCCTCAGTCTGAACAATTCTTTTGAGTTCATATTTAAACAGCATGTGTTTTGATTTTGTTTACTTGGTGTTACATTATTGGCAAACAGCATCACAGAATAGTTGTGTTGGACAGGGAACAGGTAGTGACGTGTTAGTGCAAGAACACAATGGCTGCCGTTCATCTAAAACATGTGAAATCAAACTTCCATAACTTGAATCAGTTGCATGTTTCTGGCCTCATTCTGAATAATTAAATAAATATCATACTTGAACAGCAAATGTTCTGCTTTTGTTTATGTGGTTACTACTAAATTATCAGCAAACCGTAACACTTAATATTTGGGTTGGACAGGGAACAGCTGTTGATGTGTTAGCGCAAGAACAAAATGGCCACCATTCAGCTCTAGCCATCTACCTGATTTTTGCTCAGTTTGCGCCTAGAGCTCCTCTCAGTTATTTTGAATAACTGCAATGTAAAATGGGCCGTGCGGAGCCGTAAAACTAGTGTTAAATTATTGGCAAACAGCATCACAGAATAGTTGTGTTGGACAGGGAACAGATAGTGACGTGTTAGTGCAAGAACACAATGGCTGCCGTTCATCTAAAACATGTGAAATCAAACTTCCATAACTTGAATCAGTTGCATGTTTCTGGCCTCATTCTGAATAATTAAATAAATATCATACTTGAACAGCAAATGTTCTGCTTTTGTTTATGTGGTTACTACTAAATTATCAGCAAACCGTAACACTTAATATTTGGGTTGGACAGGGAACAGCTGTTGATGTGTTAGCGCAAGAACAAAATGGCCACCATTCAGCTCTAGCCATCTACCTGATTTTTGCTCAGTTTGCGCCTAGAGCTCCTCTCAGTTATTTTGAATAACTGCAATGTAAAATGGGCCGTGCGGAGCCGTAAAACATGGATCTCATTGGAGCATCATTGGACGTCTTGCTTTCTCTGCAATCGATTGCTATACTATGACAAAAGTCAACCTAAAAGAGAAAATTTACCACAGACTGGTTTATCTAATAATCTGGACACATTTTGGGATGTAAAAAAAATCAAGCTTGCATATCTTGAATTGTTTGCGTGTTTCTGGCTGAGCAATTCATTCGAATCCATATAACAGCATATGTTTTGTTTTTGTTTACTTGGTTACTACTAAATTATTGGCAAACAGCATCACAGAATAGTTGTGTTGGACAGAAAACAGCTGTTGCTGTGTTAGCGCGATAACAAAATGGCCGCCCTTCAGGTCTAGTCGTCTAACTCCACCTGACCGGTGTGCCAAGTGTGCGCCTAGAGCTCCTCTCAATTATGTTGAATAAGTGCGACGTGAAATGGGCCGTGCAGAGCCAGAAAGCACGGATCTGGTTGGAGCAATAACAGGCATCTCGCTTTGACAGAATGAACAGAATTACAGGGCAGTACTGCTTTTTTTATTGAGCCACAGAAGGGAAAGGCCGACAGTAAGAATTTAGGTCCTGCTATTAGTATTGATCTCTCTTCCTCATTTGTCTCTCTCGTTCCCTTCTCACCAGGTTCTCCATCAGTGAGAGGGCGTGAGGGAAGGAGTGCCCCGCATTCAAGCTCCCGCTGACCGCACTCCCCCCACCACCCTTCGCTCCGTCCACAGCATGGCTCTCGCTCTCTGGATCCTCTTTACCTGCACCATCACCCTGAGCAACGTCAGCCCCTCTGCCCAGGGTTTGTACTTAACCTACTCTTCTTCAGATCATTGCACAGCGAGCTGCTGAATTTGTTGTTGTTTTTTCTGGAATTTCTAATGCCATTTTCAAACATTCTGTGGTAACTTAAGGCTACGTACACCAACGCAGATGCAGATGCTTGGCCAACACACTGGAAGTTTGCAGTCCCATTATGCATACATTTTCTGTTACTGTGGAGGTAACCTCTATACTCAGGGGGCGATAGAGAAGCCTTCTATTATCTTTGCCATTAGAGGCAGGCTAGGTGATTTGGTTCAAAAACATTTTTGTTATGCTGGTTGAAAATCTCTTCACATCCCGATAGCAATCACTAAGTTAAGTGGTCTAAATGCATTTATATTGTGCTTTCAAGCTGTCTTGCTTTTGCTAGCCTCTCTGAAATTGTATACCCTTAAGACAACCTTTAAGCCAGATCTGTTACTATTAAAATAGAAAATGTATTAAAAAGGATTATCTTCATTCTGATTCCATGAAAGAGAAAACTGACTACAGTTTTGGAAGTTTTCAGTCACTTGCAAAGACTAGCTTTGTTTAAGGCCCAAGTCTGATGAACAATTTTATTGAATTCAAATTCAGTGAACAGTGTTTGTTTCACTTCAATTTGTTGTTTTTAGCAAATTATAAATCAATAGCTGTAGTCAATCAGTAATCAATAGCGATGACTTCTGTGTAACCTCGTTGTAATTGCCTGAGCTAACAACCTGACTTTCAAGTTAACAAACTTAAGTTAAGGATTCAACTCACATCAACATCAAATCGAATAGGGCAGAAAGCATGTTAAAAGAAATGGTACAACTTACTGAAATGTCCCATGTCTCATTCAATTGCTCAGTCAGTGTATCAACCGCATAAAGATATAAATAAAAATGCTTGTAAACAGTGTCATGTAGTGTTACATTAATTTCAGAAAAGCAATTAAATGTCCATATCTCGCTAATTAAAAAGAAAAAAGCTCTCCATAAGAGCATTTTGTTAAATATATGCTCTACATTAAATATATATAATATTTTTTTACTTAACCTGTTAGTAATCTCATTTATTGTGTTTAAATAAATCTGTCATGGAAACATTTTATAACAATCAAATTCCAAAAACATTGGAGTTATATAATTATATCATTAAAAATATATAAAACTGCTGTATGTGCTGTTTAAATGTATGTATACAACTCAGGGGGTTTTTGCCCCGAATGTTGATTATTTTATCTAAATGTTTTTGTTCATTTTAATCTTTATTATTAAATTACCAATTGACAGGGTTCCCTGAATTGAATGTTTACAGCATTAGTTGAGAGATTGAGAAAAATTGACCCTTAGTGTACCTGTTAAATATTCAGATGAATCATTAGGGAATCGAAATCTGAACTGAACCCGGATCAAGAGCTTGTGAATCAGAATCAAATTAATTCGGGAAATCGGTGTCAATACCTGAACTTGAGTATTGTTCTTTGGTTCAGTCCTCAGTTCACAACAAATTTCACACTAATAAAAGAAATCAGTCATTTGAAGAGAACACAAAAAATAACTATTATTAAAAGAATAAAAGTACTGACTTTATACGAATACGAATAAGTTAGAATGGAAGTGCCATTTTAAGTTAGACTGGGATATACTGGTCTCCTCAGCCCCTATAAATGGGTCATTGTAGATGTGTGTGAGTTGTCAGAGAGTGTGGTGGATGGAGGGACCCATGTGGCAGTAAAGCTGGTGTGGATGTGATGGGCCTGAGGTCTGGGGACGGGGGGATGTAGCAGGGGTCTGTCCAGCTAGTGCCCTTCCACTCCGACACCACCGCACCATCTGCTGCTCTGCAGGGCCCGTGCCAGGCCCAGAGAGCAGGGGAGCGTGCAGCATTGTTTTGCCCCGAATGTTGATTATTTTATCTAAATGTTTTTGTTCATTTTAATCTTTATTATTAAATTACCAATTGACAGGGTTCCCTGAATTGAATGTTTACAGCAGTAGTTGAGAGATTGAGAAAAATTTACCCTTAGTGTACCTGTTAAATATTCAGATGAATCATTAGGGAATCGAAATCTGAACTGAACCCGGATCAAGAGCTTGTGAATCAGAATCAAATTAATTCGGGAAATCGGTGTCAATCACCATCACCCAAGAAATCAGTCATTTGAAGAGAACACAAAAAATAACTATTATTAAAAGAATAAAAGTACTGACTTTATACGAATACGAATAAGTTAGAATGGAAGTGCCATTTTAAGTTAGACTGGGATATACTGGTCTCCTCAGCCCCTATAAATGGGTCATTGTAGATGTGTGTGAGTTGTCAGAGAGTGTGGTGGATGGAGGGACCCATGTGGCAGTAAAGCTGGTGTGGATGTGATGGGCCTGAGGTCTGGGGACGGGGGGATGTAGCAGGGGTCTGTCCAGCTAGTGCCCTTCCACTCCGACACCACCGCACCATCTGCTGCTCTGCAGGGCCCGTGCCAGGCCCAGAGAGCAGGGGAGCGTGCAGCATTTGCTTGTCCAGGTGTATTTGGTGGCCGCTGTATTTCCTGTGTTTAATTTGCCTGGTTCTGCTGCTGTGAATTGATGTGATGTACTCAGTGTTCCATTGGACACGTTTTGGCCCTGGGCACGGAGCCGCTTCATCAATGTGTTGTACGAGTGTGTGTGTGTGTGTGTGTGCATGAGTGCCTCCAGCTGTCTCTGTGACCTGGCTCTGGATTAATAATGCATTAATAATCAATTGAGTGTTATCAAGGTTGTGCTGCAAGCGCAGGCAATTTGGAGAAATAAGGAAGCCTTCGTTCCTCTATGGGCTCATTGATCGCCTTGTGTTGCCATTAAAGCATGCCACAAATAACACACACTCACACAGAGCACATAATTCTGTTTCTTAGTTCTGCTGTTCTCGTCTTCTTTGAGTGTGTGTGTGTGTGTGTGTGTGTGTGTGTGTGTGTGTGTGTGTACGGTGTATATAAGAGACAAAAGCTGGGTGTCACAATTTTATACTCCAGTGAATAAACACAAACACACAGAGACTATAAATATATACATTTATAACGTTACAAAAGATTGCCATTTCAAATGAATGCTGTTCTTTTGAACTTTCTGTTCATCAGAGAATTCTGAAAAACAGCTTTCAGCAGAGACAGACTGAGATAATGGCTGCTGAAAATTCAGTTTTGCCATCACAGGAATACATTACATATAATTTATTGCCTTGGTGAGCATCATTAAAATAAAATACAATAAAATGCAAAAAAATAATACATTTTACCATTTCCAAATAGCATGTATATAGGATGAGATGTCCTATTTTGGTGTCCATGTAATAAATGTTCCCTCGTAATTTAGTGTAACAGCTATATTTATGTAAAAGCGAAACAACATAATTATTCTGACCTGTACTTTTTAAAATATATAAAAGAAAGTGTGATCATACACAATTCGATTACATTTTAAATGATTAAAAACGTCTTGCTGATAAATGTGTAGAACTTTTGAGGGATAGAGGTACATATTGGTAAAGACTTAAAATTACAATTAGTTTTTGAGGTCTGCACTGTGATCCTTAAATGGTATTTTAATGTCATCAAACATGGTAATCATGGTAAAAGTGTATGATAGTCATTATTTTTTGCTCAGAAAAAAACAAACAAATTAAAAGGTCAAAATAAGTGAAAAAAATATATATATATATATTCTGAAAGTATACAAAATAATTTCTACTATTTCTGGCTCACTAATCAAATATGCTAATTTGTGTCATTTGAACTAATTTTTATAGATTTTTTATTTTCTTGCTTCATTTGAAACAACAAACTTGTGGAGTTCATGTAGCTCAAGTGCTTTTGAAATTAAATCAGAAGGGGATAAAAGATTAAATACATGGTAATTTGTCAAACTGTTATGATGACCATATAATTTGTGGTGAAAAAAAGCACAATAAGCCTTAGATTTTCTGACCTTAATGTACATGTGTGGCTAGAAACTAAACATACATACTGTACAGTACTTTTTTAAAATTACTGTTTACTAATCTAAAAGATGGATGCTGACATGCCCTTGTCCTCATTTCCCCTTGTTTCTCCACTCCTCTCCTCCTCTTCCATCTTCTCCTCTCCTCTTATCCTCCTCTAATTTTCTCCTCTCCTCTCCTATAATCTAGTTAATTCTCATCTCCTCTATTTGTGTCTTGTTTTCTCCTCTTTTCTGTACTTGTGTCCTCTCCTCTCCTCTCCTCTCCTCTCCTCTCCTCTCCTGTCCTGTGCTGCTGTTGCTGTGATTCACACTACTCTTGGGTCTCTCTTTAGCATATACACAGAAAATTCACTCTTTTTCCCTCTAATTACTTCCATCTCTCATCACATGTGCTTTTTTTGTTGTTTCTCATCTTGTCTTCTCTTTTCATATTGTGTGTCCTCGTTTTGTCTTGTTTCCTCTTCCATTTCATATGTCATCTAATGTCATATTTTTTTCCGCCTTTCCACATTTTGTATCTTTTTGTATTCTCTTCTCATCATGTTTCTCCTCTCCTTTAATCTAGTTAATTCTCATCTCCTCTATTTGTGTCTTGTTTTCTCCTCTTTTCTGTAATTGTGTCCTCTCCTCTCCTCTAATCTAGTTAATTATCCTCTCCTCTCCTTTATTTGTGTCTTGTTTTTTCCTCTTTTCTGTACTTGTGTCTTTTTCTCCTTTCCTCTCGTTTCACCTCCTCTCTTTTTTCTTCTCCTTTTTTTCTCCTCTTGTCTTTCCTCTACTCCTGTCTTGTCCTCTTCTCATTTCCCCTTGTTTCTCCTCTCCTCTCCTCCTCTTCCATCTTCTCCTCTCCTCTTATCCTCCTCTAATTTTCTCCTATCCTCTCCTTTAATCTAGTTAATTCTCATCTCCTCTATTTGTGTCTTGTTTTCTCCTCTTTTCTGTACTTGTGTCATCCTCTCCTCTCCTTTAATCTAGTTAATTCTCCTCTCCTCTATTTATGTTTTGTTTTTTCCTCTTTTCTGTACTTGTG